TACATTAAGTTCAGTTTGGACCAGCCACCTTTCAAGTGCCCAATAGCCACATATGGCTGGTGACGACTGTATTGGACAACATAGATCTAACTTAACATCTTAAAGGGTTTCCAGGAGAGAAGAGACAATATTTGAAGAAATAATGGCTGAGAAATTTGCCAGGATTAATGTAAGGCATGAATCCTCAGACTCAGAAAGTCTTCATCAGAATGTAAATATTTTGTAGTGAAACCTTGGAGAGCCTAGAACAGAAAAGACGTTAAAACTAACCAGAGAGAAAAGACGGATTACCTACAAAGGACCTTCAGTTCAACTGAAAACACTTGTTTTCAATATCTTCAAAATACTGAGTCAAAATAAGTGTCAGTGCAGGACCTTTATATCCACTGGAACTATCAATCAAGAATGAGAGTAAAATAAAGGCGTTTTCAGTTAAAGACGAAGTTTATCAGCGGCAGACTTTCACTGAAGGAGAACCGTAATAAAACACAAGTACAACAAGGAGGTCTGGGGACAGGTGGCAATGTGAAAGAGGATTTCTAAAGAGAGACGGAAAGATAATAATGACATACTTTGTGTACTCCTTAGGGTTTTTTTGTTGTTTTGTCTTGTTTTTTTCTTCTCTCTGTCTCTAGAGCTCTGATGGCAGGGAGTGGGTAGAGCTGAGAAGTCAGTGCTAACTCTGACCTGCTGCCCTTAGCTCCTGGTCTGTCTTCTGCACAGAGTATGAGGCAGGGAGGGCAGTGGGGGAGTATATGCTGTTGAATTAGCAGGATAGTACATTATAGTCTTCCCCTATTTGCTCAATAATGGGATACAAAGAAAACAGTGAAAAATTAACAGGTATATAGAGGAAAGAAATCATTTTGGAATACAAGGTAACATGGAGGGGGTGGAGAGTAGGGCTTTGTAGCATGTTTGGGAGTTGAGTTGAGACAGAAAGAAGATTGACAGAGAAGGGAGAGAGGCAAGACTGAGGGTGAGGAAGTTTAGATGAGAAACAGAACCAACAGTTGCTTGCCACGCTGTTGCTATAAAAATCACTAGTTAAAGATTTGTTTAGCCCTCCAAGAGGGCTCCCTGAGGAGGAAGAGGAGTGGGTGCCACAGCTAATTTAATCAGCAACTTGATTATGAATTTAATAGCTGCCATTAAATGAGCACTTACATGTGTCATAGTGGTGAAGTGTTCTACTGTCTGAAAATTTAACCTTCAAACAAGTCTGTGAAGTAGTTTTTTTTTAATTGTGGTGAAATACACATAACAAAATTTACAATTTCAAGTGCAGAGTTCTGTGATATTAAGCACATTTACATTGTTGCGCAGCCATCAAGTGAAGATTTTTCCAAAAATTTTACCAATGACCAAACTTAGTCTCAGAGAGTTTAAGTGATTAGCTGTTAGTCGGTAGTAGAGTAAAGATTTGTGCTCCCTGTTTGTCCAACTTTAAATTCCATACTCCTTTTCTACAAAATCTAGTGCCTTTGCTAAGAGTAACTTGAAAGTCTTCAAAAATTATAAATCTAGGGCAGGAACTTGAAGGACTTACTGGTCTTCCAATTAGAAATATGATTTGGGAATAAAAAGAAGGCTAGTGAAATGTAGACGGTTGGCTACACAGTGATATTGAAACCAGGATTTGGTTTTCTGGCCCAAATAATCATTGAATGGCTAATCATATGTATTCCTGATTTTTTCCCGTGCACCACATGCCATATGTACTGCTATTTAAATTGACCCACTTTGTTTTTCATTGTAACTTTATGTCTCAAACTTCAGTGGAAAACCTGTAATATTATTTGCCATAACTAGAATGGATTGAAAGTATAGGGGATTATTTTTAATGGGATGGCATGGAAGGTCTCTTTGTAGAAATGATCTTTAAGCTGAAACCCACGGCGGGAATATAAAGGCTTTGAGGCGGAAAACAACTTAGCATATTTGAAAAAAAAAAAGAGAAGTAAGAAATAAAGGAGCCGGCTGAGCAGAGTGAATAAGGGGCAGAGTGATGAGTTGGAGTCAGAGAAATAGGTAGGGGCCAGATTATGGAATACTTTGTGGACCCTAGTAAGGGGGTGCTAACCAGATTCTCACAAGGACCAGAATATCAGATACATGTACAGAAGGTGTGAAGAAGCCCAATGTAGAGACAAATGACAAGTCAACTGCCAGAGGGTGAATGGGAGCTTTTGGTGACGTTGAGAAAGCCATAATCCTGAGAATGACTTACACGTGTAGTACTGCTTAGTTTAGGAACATTGCAGTCAGGGGAAGGCAATTGACTACTAAGCAGTAGTTAGTGATCCCCACGACGTAACTTACTTGTCACTGTTGCGTAATGAACATACCAGAAGGAAAGAAAATAACTTTCATGCAACATGTCCCCATATTATCTTAGCTCTTATCCTTTCAACAACCTTGAGAAGTAGATTTTATTATCCCTGTTTTCCAGATGAGAAAACTAAAGATCAAAGAAATTAGGAAACATGTTAAAATCACCAGCTACTAAATGGTGGGCCTGGAATTTGCGAGCAAGAGGGTGACTCCAAAGTCCATGGTCCTTTTATTACATTGTTTGCTTGATGATACAGTTTGAAAGATTATGAAAAATGTACAACTTAGGCTTAGAGATCACTGTCTCGGACTTCGGGGGAAGAAAACCGACTGATCAAAGGTAACTGGTGCAGAATGGCCATCATTCAAAAGTCCACAAATGACAAATGCTGGAGAGGCTGTGGAGAAAAGGGAAGCCCCCTACACTGCTGGTGGGAAGGCAGTTTGGTGCAGTCACTGTGGAAAACAGTATGGAGATTCCTCAGAAGACTAGGAATAGACTTACCATATGACCCAGCAATCCCACTCCTGGGCATATATCCAGAAGGAACACTACTTCAAAAAGACACCTGCACCCTGATGTTCATAGCAGCACTATTTACAATAGCCAAGATATGGAAACAGACTAAGTGTCCATCAGCAGATGACTGGATAAAGAAGATGTGATATATTTATATGGTGGAATACTATTCAGCCATAAAAATAACAACATAACGCCATTTACAGCAACATGGATTTCCCTGGAGAATGTCATTCTAAGTGAAGTTAGCCAGAAAGAGAAAGAGATCGCTCATATGTGGAATCTTAAAAAAAAATAAAAGAACATAAATACAAAACAGAAGCAGACTCATAGATATAGAATACAAACTTGTGGTTGCCAAGGGGGCGGGGGGTGGGAAGGGGCAGACTGGGATTTCAAAATTTGTAGATACTGACAGGCATATGCAGAGTAGATAAACAAGATTATATGGTATAGCACAGGGAAATATATACAAGATCTTGCGGTAGCTCACAGCGAAAAAAAATGTAACAATGAATATATGTATGTTCATGTATAACTGAAAAATTGTGCTCTACCCTAGAATTTGATACAACGTTGTAAAATGACTATAACTCAATAAAAAAAAAGTATTAAAAAAAAGGTAACTGGTGTAATTAACTAGACTCTTGCATCTCCTGGGAGATCCCTGCCTAGCTCCAAATAGTAGAAGCACTAGGGAGGGGCTCATAAGCATGACCATTCATTCAGAATCTTAAAAACTATTACAGAAGACAGTGTGGAACCAGTAACTAGGGAACATTTTCAGGAGATTAACTAGTAGGTAATAATTAGCTGTGGTAGCAGTGGTTGGACAAAATAGAGGAATCAAGTTAGGGGCCCAGGAAGCTGAGCAGGTGATGGTATTGTAACAGATATGCTGATGGACTTCATGTCGGTAAAAAGGACATCCATTCTCTGTGAATCTCCCCTCCCTTCTCCTGGGTGACTTTTGGGCAAATCTAACTTTAAGTCATTTATAATGATTAAATGCCCAGTCTGTCTTTACTTTCTGCTCAGTTTTGCTGTGAAGCTAAAACTGCTGTCAAAAACTTAAGTTTATTAATTAAGAAACAAGTCCAGTCTAGCCTAAATCAAAACTTTAATTTTATATCTCATTTAAAGCTTCTCCCCTCCCTAACTCTCAGAGAGCTGAAAATTTATGTTTAGCCTGTACTTTCACTCTTTTCTTTCTTTCTCCTCTCTCACTCTGCTGTTTCTGGGTCTCTTTCTTATAGATAAATAAACTGCCCAACCCAGACACAGAGGAGTGCAACCACTGGTTCCCTTTGCAGGTCCCTTTAGGGGACAGTATATTGCGTATTTGGATTGTCTTCACCTGGATAAAGATCTTCCTCAAACTGAACTGCCTCTAGACACTTTTAGTATCTCCTTTAACACTCAGTGGGCACATAGAATGTCTTTTTTTCCTTCCACTTAACAGCTTTTCAGGTATCTGTGATTTTAGTTGAAGGCACTGGAGGCATTGGAAAGAAAAACCCGTTTTTTCTTTATTGAGCTGGGGAGTTCGAGTAGTTGTCAGATTTCTTTGTGACCCCTCATAATTGAGTGAATGGAAAAAAGATGATATTTCACTTTCTAAGGTCTGTTTTCTCCAACACTGGTGCTTTTAATCACTAATTGGCGGCTAGGAGTTTAGCCTGGAAAGAGTGTGTGTGTGTGTGTGTGTGTCCCACGTGTTGCTGGACACTGGAACGCATCTGAATGGTGCCATTCTTCGTCTGCCACATAGTGAGCACTTTATAAGATCGTTTATTGCCCTGAATGAATGGCTAAATGTGGAAGCTACAAAGAAAGCCGAACAGCTTTCACTGAGTACCTAGCCCGGTGCTCAAATACTCCTCTCAAGGGCAAGCAAAGGGAGTTGGGGTGTTGAGGTCTCTTTTGGGATGGGTGGGGACTTCCCTTGGGCTCCTATTGTTAGGCACTGCCTCTTTAATTCGCGGGGAGCCGCTAGGCGGTGCTGGGGAGCCTTGCATGGGGGCAGCAAGCTCTCCAGCGCCCCTCCTCACTCCTCTTCCCCCGCCCCTCGGAGAGACTACAACTCCCGTGGTGCTCTGGGAGTGGGAAGGCGGGGCAAAAGGAGAGGGACGCGAGGGCGGGCCTTCCGGGCGTGTGCTTCCGGCGTCGGCGGCCGTGGCCGAGGACGGTGTGAGAGCGGTAAGATGGCGGCGGCGGCGGTGGTAGAGTTCCAGAGAGCCCAGTCTCTACTCAGCACCGACCGGGAGGCCTCCATCGACATCCTCCACTCCATTGGTAAAGGTCGCCGCG